TAAGGCGCTTTTTCCATTGCAAATGGTTTTAAACACCACATTTTTCACATTTCTGTGCCTAGATTTAAGCAGCAGAGACTGAAAGAAGAGTGTAGGTTGATTTTAGAAAAAGGTGAGTGTAGTCAATCAATCCGTTATTGAGGACTCCTTAATAATAACAGTGAGTGCTTTTTCCATCCTTAGATTTCAGAAGTGCTCAGTGCATCTAAGCAAAAACCAGCATTTTAAGAGCTCACAATGGGATTTTAAACTGTGGTGCCCTGGATTTATCACTTGATATTGCAGTTCACATCCCTGTTGAATATCGCCATTAAATCCTTGCATAATTTCTGCTAATAAGAGAATATTCCGCTGTTATACTCTCTGATTCAATTTTTACCCCTGAAATGAGCATCAGGGAACCTATTTATTCTTGTTCTTAACTGCTTTTAACAACACTTTAAAGTCAGGTCAGGTACAGCCTTTCTATTATTTTTCCGTGGTTCCAGAGTAATTGCGTCTTATACTTCATTCTGTGTTTAATAGCATATCATAGATGAACTTGGAAATGTAAACCAGAATGCCTTTCAACTGTAACAATTATTCTTTCAGGGAAATTCAAGATATTGAACTGGCAACTCTCTAATAGAGATCTTGCTCATAAAACAGAGAGTTTTATTCTTTTCTCACATCATTCAGTCTCACCCACAAAAAATTAGGCTCATGATATCTGCAGTCTACAGAAGATCCATGTATGCTCTGGGATCTAGTGTCTTCAGCAGTGTATTTCTGGACCATCCACATATAGAATCATAGAATGGTTTGGGTTGGAAAGGACCTTAAGATCACCTGGTTCCAACTCCACTGCCATAGGCAGGGACACCTCACACTAGACCAAGTCACCCAAGCTCTGTCCAACCTGACCTTGAACACTGCCAGGAATGGAGCATATACCACTTCTCTGGGCAACCTATGCCAGTTCCTCAGCACCCTCACAGTAAAGAACTTCTTCCTTATATGCAACCCAAACTTCCTGTGTTGCAGTTTGAACTCATCACCCCTTGTTCTATCACTACAGCCCAACATTTTACTAGTCCGCCCATACAGGCAAAGAGTATCAATAAATCACTTTACAGGGAAATAATCAAATTAAAGAGATTTACAAAACGGAGTTAACACTCTGTGGCAGAGACAAAATCTACTTTATGCATTCCAAACCCAGGAGCAACATAAAGCTGCCTGTCTTACTTTTTCCAGCCAGTCTATTTCTTCAGCCCAATTTTATGACAGAGTTTATAGCCTTGCATATGTTCCTTGGTGTTTACCTGATCTGCTTCTATATAAGTCCATGTTTCCATCACAATTTTCTTGTAAGACTCTTACACTCTGCATTACATTCTTTTTTCCCCTCCTTTACTTTCCTTTAAATAAGAAAATTGAATGGCAATCCTCTGTTTAGTACTATTCATCCTCCAAAGAAGCCCATGTTTTGAGAACAAGCATACTGCTTTTGTTGACAAGCAGATTTTTCAGAGTCTACCCTGTACATAATAGAACTGGCACTCATCACACATTGGTATTTGTCTATTCTTACTCATATTGAAATATCCCTTTCTAGAATCAAATCTTTATCAATTGTAACATCTTCTCTGTTAATTTTTAAGCTCATTGAGATTAAGCAAGACTCACATGGAGCTCAAAGACCAGGTTGGATGAAGCCTTGGGTGATATGGTTTAGTGTGAGGTGTCCCTGCCCATGGCAGGGGGGGTGGAATTTGATGATCTTAAGGTCCTTTCAAACCCTAACTATACTATGATTCTATGATTCAAAGGGACAGCAGTGTCATGGTAAACATGTGCTGAAAGTGCTTTGGCATACTGAGATCTCCGTGTTACCTGCCTCACATCCATTGCCAGCAAACCCAACCCAGACTGTGTGCTTGGTCATGAGCTTTTCCTATCCACAGCTGGTTACTGGTTAGATAATACTATTTCTGCTTTCTATGTTGTATTGCGGAATGTCTTATTTTCAACAAGAAGCAGAAAAAAGCGGTAGCATATTGAGGCTAAAAGATGGCTGAAACATCTCAGTGTCTGCACTTCAAAGTCTGTAAACTTTGGTCTTTGGCATGCTTTTAGACATCACTGTTTCCACATCACTATAGATAATCTTTTCAGGAACAAAAATGCAGACAGGTGAACAGTAAAGACTTCTGCAGAGACATCAACCAAGCCACTGCAAATGTCTATTGACAGAAACATCCCAAATTCACTTCGGTGAAGACTTTCACTGAGGTTATTTTTTGCTGGCTCCAGTTTCAGACCTGAAGCAAATGAAAGCAAAGACTGAGTATGACATTGCTTTGGCATGATAGGTCACTTCAGACATGGGCCTTACTTCACACTGAAACTCATGATGCAGATCCCACTGAAATCAATGGAGATCATTCCATCCAATTAACCACATTTTGTGGCAGACTCAAGAGGTCTTTGTTACAGACAGGTCAGAACTTGGCAATAGTGTTAACATACTTGGGCTAACAGCCAAGGATTTCTGGGTTTGCTGATGTTGTATTGGAACCTTTTCCATGCTGTAGTCGATGTATTCCTTGCCTCAGTGATTTTCTAAGCCCCAGTGCATGACCCACCACCTATAATAATATACAGATGCTCCTCTGTGTCACCTTCTAAATTCAAAGGTTCACCTGTATGCCATGGCCTTCTCTGGATTCATGAACAGCATGAAAGTTCTTGTTCATTTTAATGTGGCAGAAATTATGCCAATAGGTCTGGGAGGCTTCTCATTGGCAGTATCAGATTCCACAATGCCTGTGTAGGTTCAGATGGAGAAGAGTGCCCACCCAGCTATCAGAAGATGCTGGCGTTCCCTGTTAACAAGCTTTGTTCTTCAACAGAGCTGCACAAACAGTTTCTGCCTGTTCATTTTCTTCTGTCCAGAAAACTAAGGCTGGAGCCTTAGGTAATGGCAATCCATTTCAGAATCTGGTTAGGCTTCAGGCACACCTGATCCCCTCATCTTGCTTGTTTCTCTTGACCAGGTGGCATCTTTAAGGTGTTCTATCACATTCAAAATACAAAGTTCATTAACCTTGCTCAGATCTGATGTGAAGGCAGGCTCTTAGAGGGTAGTATTTGATGTAGTACAAGCCTTTCAGCACTTAAAGGGGGCTTATAAGAAAGATGAGGACAAATATTTTAGCAGGGCCTGCAGTAAGGGGTAATGTTTTTGATCTAAAAGAGGGTAGATGTAGAATTGCTATACAAGGAAGAATTTTTTATGGTGGGAATAGTTGAAGCACTGTCACAGGTTGCCCAGAGAGGTGGTACGTGCCCCATCCCTGGAAACATTCAGGTTGGACAGGGCTCTGAGCAACTTTATCTAGTTGACAATGTCCCTGCTCCTTACAGGGGTTTGAACAAGCTGACCCTTAAAGGTCCTTTCTATGATTCAATGCTAGTATGTCTTGGGACATGTGTGGGACAATCCCACCATGTATTATGAAGGTTTTTACATTGATTCAACAATATACTTGCTGTTCTTGAAACTTAAGATAAATTTTATCCTAATTTTTATTTTAATTTATCTTAATTTTTATCAATTTAATCTTAATTTTATCCCTGGAAAAATTCTCAGTGCTCTTGGGACCTTGTTACGTTGCTGAAGTATCTTGACCTCAGTGTAGTTTCACTCTTTGCAATGGGCTAGAGCACCTCTGAAGAGAAGATATAGATAAAACAATCAACTGACGAAAGAATCTTTCTTTGGGGTTGGCAGCAGTGACTTAGCTGAGATGGGTTGTTTGCTGGCATGTCCTCCTATCTACCTGAGCAGTCATTTCCTTGGGTTCACCTTGGACTTTGGCAATTGAAGCACTCCTATATATTAAGTAGCAAGACTCTGTGCAGCTATTTCTTTTTTAAGTACGAGTTAGGCTGAATGACCTTAATAGAAAACTGCCAGCAAAAGCACAAAAAAGTTTAATTGAATTAAGTCTAAATAATATGATCTTGAAGTTTCAACACACACTTATCTATTGACATTGTCTCACTGTTAGAATAAAAGAGCAAAGTCCTTGTACTGCTCTTCTGCAGAGCAGGCAAATTTATAATATACAGGGAAAGGAATCTGAAAGGCAAAGTCTTCATGCAATCTTTTAACCAATATTAGAAAGTGAACTTCGAAGGTGCTGCTATGAAGTGTGGAAAAACCTGTATTGGATGTTTGCTACCCAACAATGTAGCTTATTGGGCACATTCTTTATTTCATGTATGACAGAAGCAAATGCTGTAATAGTGACCTATAGGTATATTTTGAGGTCTCAGGACAGCTCTGACATAAGTTTAGGATTTTCTTCCTTTGTACAGGAGGAAGAAATCATTGGAAGGTGATTTAGGGTTTTTCTTTTGAAAGGTATGGAAAACAGAGAATAAGAACAGAAGACTTAACTCTGCTAAGCATCCCCTTGAATACTGTAGCAACTCCAAATGTCCTTCTTGTTCAGACAGGGCATTGCATGATACATGTATGGTACAGCCTGCCTGAACCATTCTGAGTATTATGTATGACAACCTTTATCTATACTTTTCAGCTGCATACATCTCATCTTTCTAGTCTTTTCCATAAGAGAAGATACAGCTCAGTCCCACATAGCCGCTTGCTCACTCCCTCTCAGTAGGATGGAGAATCAGAAGCCTAAAAGTGTGAAAACCTGTGTGTTCAGATAAAGGCAGGTTAATAGCTAAAGCAAGAGCTGCTCACACAAGCAAAGTAAGCCAAGAAATTCATTCACCACTTCCCATGATCAGGCAGGGGTTCAGCCACCCTCAGGACAGCAGGGCTCCATCACATGTAATGGTGACTTGGGAAGACAAACACCATCACCCCTAACACCCTCTGCCTCCATCTGCTTCCCCCAGCTTTATAGGCTTGATTATTACATCATATGGTCTGGACCATCCCTTGTGTCAGGTAGGGTCAATTGTCCTGGCTGTGTCCCTCCCAACTCCTCGTGCACCCCCAACCTACTTTCTGGTGGGGTGAAGAGCAGAAAAGGCCTTTACTGCCTTGTACTGCTCAGCGATAGCTAAAACATCCCTGTGTTATCAACACTGTTTCCAGCACAAATCCAGAACACAGCCCCATCCTATCTACTCTGAATAAAATTAACTCTATCCTGCCAAATTCAGTACAGTTATAGATCTGAAGAGCTTCTTGAAGGGATTATTTTGCTTGCAGAATTGCAGTTTGGGTTCAGGCCATCCTTTAAACTGCAAGAGCACTCAGAAAAGGTTCCTGTTGCAGATTAATAAACAGACAAGCTACAACAGGCTCAGGTGTGAACTGCAAATGGTTGGAAGATGGGAGAAAATTGGGTCTGTATCACCCCTGCTTGCTCTTTTCTTACTCTGTCATCCTGATTTGATTGATGGCAGACAGGTTACTTATGCTTGGTCTCAACCAGTTCCTCTGCCCTTATGATCTCATGGCTGCAACCCAGGTTGATAGAAACATACCTATGTGAATATTGTTGCCCTGGTGAGACAGTTCAAACATCCTCTTTTTGATGATCATTTTCAGTAGCAATTGCTGCGAGCTCTATTTGTTAATACACATATTTCCCCATGCCCTTGCTTTGGAGATGAGGAAATTGGAAATCAAATAATAAAAGTTAACATGAAGGGATTATTACAATCCTTATAAGGACTTGGGGGAAATTATTATGCAGACAGATGCATAATAATGTGTTAAAAAATACACTGAAAAAGTAGTAAAAATACTTCAGATTAGTTTTTGTTGATGATGAATAGAAGCGAAATTAAAGGAATAGAGAGATACAATGACATTAGAGAGAGATAAACCCATTTTTTCAAATTCCTCATGGAGCTGCAGCATTCCAAAATTATTTCTGCTTTTTGCTCTTTCTTTCTCATTTAAGGTCTCAGGCTCTACTAATAATGGAAAGAATAATGAAGTTTTATTAGACAACGGGGATCTCAGCTACCAGAACAGGGCCTGCTTGCTCCCTGACTAATTTCATCCCTTAGGTTTTGCATGCTTTTTGCCCTCTGTGTTTTTCCACAATCAGCTTTCCTTACTTACCTGTTTTCTTGAGTAGTCATCTGTAACAGCCTCTGATAACACTTGGCTATCAGGCTAAAACCATTAGCAACAGCTCATGGGTGTGATGGCAAATTGCAAAGGATAATCCCTGCTTTCATCTGCAGTCTTGGACTCCCTCACGTCCTATTTCCATTTTCACTAAATGAAAGATGGATGGAGGCAGATGAAGCTTTCCTTCCTCTATAGGGGGTATACCAAGGATAGGACAGGGAACCATTAGGGAACAGGGAAGCCATGTGGCCAGAAAGATTCCCCTCATGTTCATCTTCTAGTAGGGTAAGATCAGAAGGAAAAACAAAGATCTCTTCCCACTCAGGTTATAACAGGATGAATCTCAAGTGGATATGCTTGATCTAATCCTTGGGCAGTACTGTTTTACCTGCATAAACTGGAGGAGGAAAGAAGGCCAAAGTCAAAACTCATGCTAATTACAAGAAACCTCAAGTCACAGCCATCAGACCCAATTCTGTAACGCACTATATGGGGTTTTTTACTGTGTTGTCTCAGTTGGGTGTAATACTTGTGGAATACTCTGTCTCACTGGATGCTGCTGCTGAACTCACTTTCCTTCCTGTAACCTTCATTTTATTTCTCTTCCTTTCCATGTTTTCTGACTGAGCTCACCTCCTTGACTCACTCCCTACCACTTCCAGCTTGAGCAGAGGAGATTAACGTGCATGTTCCTACATCTGTATGCGCACATTTTCCCATCACCAGGCATTGTAGACAATTACTATCATGGGCAAACAATGGCCACCTTTAATCAATTTCCACCAAGTTAATTTCTACAAGTGTTGCTTTATTGCCAGGAAGGAAGATGAACAAAGGGAACGAAGACAGACAGGAAATCCCAGGACACCGGTGTCTTACTCAAAGAGGCAAACATAATTAATTGTAGTGGTTTAATTTCTGCACCTTCTGCTTGTTCCCATGTCAAAGCCCAGGTGCCTTTAACTGGCATGTTAATTAGTTCTGTGTTAGCGAACAAAGACACTGCAACTGTTGTAGGCATTAAATTGCAAATGCAAGATGCTGCTGCCCTGGGCCAGCTGACAGTTACCTGCCACAGTGAAGCAGATCTATCAGTAATACAGAAATCTGATGAGAATGAATGTCACAGGGGCCAGGATTGACTTGCTCCTTTGGGTTCATGTCATAACTTGTTAGGCATGACCTGATGTTAGAACGACACAAGGGGGGCTTTCCCATCATCAGCCTTAATTTAACTCATGTCTGTGTCCTAAATCCACGTAGAGTGGGTGGGAATGGAGGGAGTATGACCAATGTGTGCATATAAGATTTGCATGTTTCTTAATTAGACTCCACAGGCTGTCTCGGTTGACGGATTCATCTGAGGTCCCGTTGAATCCTCTTCAGTATGTAGCAGATGATAGCAAAAAGGGAAAGGCATTTCTGCAGTTCTCTTTATCTTTAGCATAACCTCTCAAGTTGGAGAAACACCAGTTTTGTTAGCAGCAGGGGAACTGGGGAATCTTTTCAGGTTTTCCTTGACACTTCCTATAGAGATGCTCTGACAAGGCAATTAACTGAATCTATACCCTGTTTACTCCTGATACCCTCTGAAATACAGATCCATCGATACTCTCTAACACTGGAGGAGCCATTCACAACATCAGCCTTTCCTAAGCACAGGCATATGAAAATAAATGGTTTGGGATGACAATGACCATCTGAGTTTTCTCTTTAATTCACAAGGCCCGTACAATGGCAACAGACAAGAGCACCTCTAGAATGTTAAAATGCATTTTCCAAAATATGGGTTTAATTAGAAAGGCTAAGCTGGCATACATTGCATGAGAAGGGAATCTCAACCAGTTTCTGAGTTTATGGGATAAAGTAAAATAAACTGAGAATCTTATTCACACTTTTTAATCTCTCTGCTTTTCATGCAACCCACTGATCATTCTTCAAATAAAACTATAATTGAAGTGGAGCAACTTCTTTCTATTTTCATACTGAGGATGGGGGAAAAGCCATGGAAGTTTTAAGGCACCCTATACTGAGATCCTGCAGGCTTTTTATGGGCGACTCTCCCATCAGTATGGAAATGAAAACTTGCAATTCATTTTGTTTTCACAATGGGAAAAAGTCAGTCTCATGGCATTGAGGCTTTATGAAGTATGCAGAAATTTATTAGCTGAAAGCAAAACTGAAGTGATATTATATATGTTCCAAGGATAAAACATCCCTTTGGAAATGAGCAATTCAACCCTTTGAAAATCCAAGCAAGGGCAGTAGGTATCATATGGAAATCTAACACTGTAGTAAAAGATGGAGAAAATGCTAGTGCCATCTATTGGCATGAAAATATAAAGGTGGAAAAGAAGCTTGGGCTCATCTGCGTGTATCCAAACAAGGTTAGAGGAGGCTGTTTGTTCTAATCACATCAAGTTAAGATATTTGTAAATATGCAGTTTTATGTTTAGTCTTTTTAATGATGTTGTATTTGGGGTAAATATGTTGACTTTAAAATTAATCACCGTTGTAATCAAGCTCCAGTGAAAGATGGGGATTTGAATGTAATGGGAATTAAGAGTCATTGCTGAGTGGATAAATGCTGGCATACTGTCTAATGCTCTTAAGCAGGTTTGCAGTGTCATCACAGGCTGTAGCTGGGTTAGTAAGCAAGTTTAAATTTCCTATGGAACAAAAGATGGAGGAATATTTAGTTCCTTGATATTTTCTGGCTTCCCTGATCAGCTGCAATTGGAAACTATTTTCATGGCAGTAACTGGATAGAAGCAAAGATGGATGCCTATTCACAGGGCATCAGTAGGAAGCAACCAGCCAAGATGGTAGTGATAGAACAAGGGGTGATTGATGGGTACAGTCTGAAACAGAGGAAGTTCAGGTTAGATATGAAGAAGAAGTCCTTTTAATGTGAGGGTGCTGAGGCACTGGAACAGGGTGCCCAAGGAAGTGGTAAATGCTCCATCCCTGGCAGTGTTCAAGGCCAGATTGGACAGAGCCTTGGGCAGCATGGTCTAGTGTGAGGTGTCCCTGCCCATGGCAGGGGGTTGGAACTGGATGATCTTAAGGTCCTTTCCAATCCTGACTATTCTAAGATTCTATGATCCACTATACCACAAAACCCAACATAGTAGCTACAAACTACTACCTAGTTTGTAGCTAGACACACAGCCATACCCCCTGAAGAAACAAAAACCTGAGAAATCTCTTTGAAGGATTGCTAACACTTGTGATGTGTCACCATGCTGTGATGTCCCTCCAATGACCAATATCTGTCAGGAATTGTCATGTCTGCAAATAATTCCTTTCTTCAGAAAATTACAGAGTTTGGTATCAAAATCCTTTGAGAAGGTTCTCCAAAGAAGAAGTTCCTTTGGAGAAGGAGCTTCATCTCAAGTATTATGTCCACTACTAATGAAAAGTTAAAGTTTGGAAGGAATTTGGGACATAGTGTGGAGCACTGAAGGCATCCATGAGCTTCCATATGAAGTCACTACATTCCAATAGAAAAAGCACCTACTTTTTAAGAGTGGCTTAGACTGAAAAATTCTGAGTATCTTTTCCCTACATGGATTTTCCCATCTAGTAGCTGCCTTCACAGTTATAAATACAACACTGATCTCTAGCTTACACATATCCAACTTCAATATCCATCTGTCGAGTCCTTTTGTATTCTACTCTAGATGTAAAGTATTTAATCTTTGTTAGCTTGCACTCATCTTCACATTTTTTTTTCCCAGTGGGCATTTGGAGCTGCCTATTACACACTTAATGTCATATAAAGATGATATTCAATGTCATCTGGCATAAACCCTTCAGAAATTAAACCCCCTGAGTCAAAAGTGCATCTTCTATAGGTCTTCTGAAATGTCAGCATTAAAGACATGCTTACAGATGGTGATCAGGTAACTTCTTTGGCTTTCTAGTTGTTAAAGCAAAAAGCTTTCAAATCTCCCACACTAAGATGGACTTTGCAGACTTTCAAATGACCCAGATGCTCAAAGGTTTGTGTTCTCTGTTATGTCAGCATTTTACTTCCTTTTGAAACAGGACCCTTACAGCTGCTCCTGTCATCCCACTGCCTGAGATGGAGACAAAATAGATTGGAATCCTTTGAACAACCCTCCTAAAACCCACTCTTTACATTTCCACAGCCTGGAATACCGAGAGAAAGAAGAATTCAAACGACATCTGCTTTTGTCCTGAACATCACTGACACTTTGGACCATGACCAAAACCCTGGGAAAAGTCTAGCTCTGAATCGTGCCAAGATGAGGAGGATGCTGTGACGTGGCATGGAAATGCAGCCTGGAACTTCTGAAAAACACATTTTACTGTGATTATATCTCTTGTCACCTCAGAAAACACTCAAAAACATGATATGAATTTCTCTGGGTACTACTGCGGTGATAATAAAGGCTGCTTCAATACTATTAAAAGGCAAGTTTGTGAGATGAGTGTCTCCCTCACTTTGTTGATTTAAACAGGATTTAATCAATCATTTTACAATGATTCTGGCAGACATCTCAAGTCAGAAGCGCTGACCTGCCTACTGTGGGCAGCATGTTGAGCTGGCTGAGCAGAGATGGTCCTGTCCTGTCTTACATCTCTCTGCAGCCTCAGCAGAATAGATCAGCACATCTTTATGTATCCAGTTTATTATCATCATTACATTCCATGGATACTGAAGTGACCATGGATCAAGGCAATACTGGAGATACTCTACATGCTCCTGTATGAATGCAAAGTCTTGTAAAAGTCTTATCAAGAAGGATAACAGATAGGAAGATAATTCTCTGTAGAGGCAGTCTTGGAAGGGGTTTATGCTGTCAGACTGTACAGCAGTCCTAGAGGGACTTGAAATATATTTAGTGCAAGGGCGTTATCAAGATAAAACCCTGTTATTGAACAGGTTTGATATAAGGAAGAAGTTCTTTACTGTGAGGGTGCTGAGGCACTGGCACAGGGTACCCAGAGAAATGGTGAATGCTCCACCCCTGGCAGTGTTCAAGGCCATCTTGGACAGAGCCTTGGGTGACATGGTCTAGTGTAAGATGTCCCTGCTCATGGCAGGGGGTTGGAACTGAATGATCTTAAGGTTCTTTCCAACCCAAACCATTCTGTGATTCTATGATTCTTATAAATAAATTCTACAGGTTTCAATGAACATTTGTCAAGAGAGAAAAAGAGAAAGGGAGGGAGAAAGCCTGGAGAAAAACCTGGTGAGAAAGCTTGATGTTAGTTCAATATTGACATCATTGCAAAACTTACGTAGAAGGAGGTGAAAGCTCTTTCATCAAGACGTTAGGAGGGGGAATAAGGTTTTATGAAACTCATACTGATTACTGGTATGATCTTGAAGCTCGTGACTTTGAACAAGCCTGAGCTCCCATTCCCAGACAGAAATGGCTGTAATAATAACTTGCTTCACAAGAGTAATGTGGGGTTTGCTGTCCTTTGCACTGTGCTTTGCCAGAGGGCTCGATGGAAAATTTGTGTCCACCAAAATGCTGTGACATTTTCACAGCATTTAATCACACTCTCTAAGGTACTCCAAGTTCAGTACCTGCTTAAAGAAAACCTTGAAATCAGTCTTACAGAGATATTTGGGTCTCTACATCAGCACCTTCCACCTGTCTTCTCATCTCCTGCAGTCCCAGGACTACCACTCAGTGGTATGTGCCTCTTTCTGCACTGATCCCTGCAAATCCATTGGGAAGTGTAGACACTTCTCCAGTGAGCAGAAGCACAGAGGAGAGGATCTGACAACCAACCACACACACACACACACACAGAGACAAAACCACAATATCTTTCACCTACTGCAAACCAACACTCTACATCCAGCTAAAGAAGGCGAAAGGTTTTCCTCTCTGAGAGTCATGTCTTTTATCATATCAATCCTCTTAATGTTTTTAATATGCTTTAGGATAAATGATGGCAATAGATCACACTCCAGAGTTGTAAATAAATAGCCTTTAAGACAAACAACATATAATCATAAAGAAGTGTATGAGTTTTTGACCGAGTAGAAAATGCAAATCAGAGACAATGAAGAAAATCAAAAGTGTCAGCCAAAAGGAACCTTGGCAAAGCAGAAGGATTTCTGAATTAAAGCAGGTACAGAATGTAGTGTAAAACCTCCTATTCCATGGGAAACACCAACCAAAACAGTTCATTTTTAACCATCCTATCTACGTTACCAATAAAAAGATAACTGAGACGATCTCTCAGGACCATCTACCCACCTTCTGAGCTCTTAAGGTCTTGAGCCCATCACGGGCATTACCCTGATACATTCCATGGTTACACTTCTCGAACTGCAAATGAAGAAGAACCATCATTTCTCTGCAGCTGTTTTGAGTCACAGATGAGATCTCATGTCAACTGCACCTTCCTTCCCTCACTGTTCCCCATTATCTGTCCCCCATAGTAGGTTCAAATCTCACTTCGATTATGTTTGAGCATATTTTGAATGAGTTGGATTTATACAGCCTTAGAGAGAGTAACTCACAGCAGTCTCTTCCATCTGCATTTCCCTTCCCAGTGAGCCAGTCTTGCTCTTAACCCTAGCCAGTGCATAGTCTTTATGAACTAGTGAGGTGTTTTGGCCTGATGGACCTGTGCTGAGCCCTAAATAGAGAGTAGAACAAAGATGTATCATTCTACAGGGTACATGTAGCAAGAAACCTTCTCTAGATCATCTTTAAGGTCTCTTCCAACCCAAACTATTCTATCATTATCTGACGGTGAATTCTAAAAAGCAAGTTGACAACTCATCCGGAATTACTTCTGTACTGACAGTAGAAAGAGAAATAAGAGCCATATTCCAAGTACCTTCAAGGGAATGACATGGGTCAGAAGGCTGTGGGTAATTAAAGGCCAAATGGAGATCAGAGGTACACCAAAAAATTCTTGGGCTGGGGAGTGGAGAAGGACAACACCAGGAAGGGAGGGCAAATAAACATGGTGTGGACTCCCTCTGTTGAACCCTCTGATGTCTTGGTGCAAGACAACATTGGGCAAGAGCCCACAGCATGCAGGTAACAGAAGAAAGCCCACATAATATGTGTATGCTGAGAGAGAGAGGAGTCAGAGAGAAAATTAACACTGTTATAATGAACCCAGGGACCTGTCATGAAGGTGACCCTACAAAGCATTTCTTATGCATGGGAAAGGAGAAGGTAACCTTTTCCTTAGGAAGATGTAAAGGGTGAGCTACAGAGGCAATGGACCCGTCCCTTGAACTGGGGCAAAGTACCTTAATCCAGGCTGAAAGTGTGTAATGTTTCTTGAAGGTTTTTAGTTGCTTTTTTACACCTATTCCTACAGAGCAAACTGCCTGTCTGGTGTGGAGAATATATTTAGCTAAAAGTTAGAAAATACCCTGGAGCAAAACAACTGTGATACATGTAGATGGCTATTTTGGCAAGTGCCTTTAGCATAACTTCAGGCCACCAAACTCTGTGTCTGAAGAACCACCCTTGCTGTGGCTTAGCTCTTTCGCACCTCTGCTGTTTGGTGTCTTGGTCTCTCATGCTCTCCATCTCAGCCTGCCCTCCATCTCTTTGTCATCCACATTTGCACACGTCACTTACCATGATCTCCATGCCTGGTGAGCACCTAAGCAGGAATTATTGCTGAAGGCAGCTGGGATGCAGATTGCTCGTGTTTACACACTGATGCTTAAGTGACCTTTGGAGATCTGCAGATATGAATTTTCCATCTCATTTCCCATGGGGAAATATTTACATACTGTTGAATGGGCTGAGCTGGTCGTTATCATGCTGCTGCTGCGATTTACAAACATTACTGGGAAATAAAGTAATAATAGTAATAATAATAATAGTAATAACAACAACAAACCCCAGCATTTGTTTGAATTGGAGCCTGGGAGATGAGCCGTGGGAGCCTGGGGCGCTAACATCATAGTACAGCATGAGAGGGTGGCTGTGGCATTCACCTCTCATTCACGGGTACCCATCTGCTGCCTGCCTGTTTGTAGCAATTTATTTGGGAAATAAGATTAAACCTCCTAATAGTTTGTGAGTATCCAGTTTTAAACAAGGCAGCTGATAACTCTCTGTAGAAATGAGGTTAGTGCTAAAAAACAGGTCTTAATTTATGCACAAGGGAGAGATTTATCATGCAGTTTTTGGTATGGAAGTGGAGGTGGGAGAGAAGAAGAGAGGGTGACCTTTGTGTTATCCTTCCAGCTTCGTATCGTCACAGCACCAAAATGGCCCGAACACCCACCCTGGTTTTCTGCCCTCTTTTTCACCCTGTTTTCTGTCGAATGTTAGAAGGGGGAGAGAGAACACTGAAAAGGGAAAAACCTGATTCCAAACATAACACATTCAGTGACCCTCCGGCTGCTTCTCTTGACAAGATCTTTCAGGTCAGAATGTGTTTGGTTGGTTGTACCAAGTGGTGAAAGGGAAAGAGTGGGAGGAGTTTTTCTTGGGAATACCAAGAAGGGATTTAGATTGCATTTTTAGCTGGGATTTAAGATTAACATGTGAAATAGTGGGGTGAAAGTAGAGAGATCTTCCATCGAGTTGGCTATAAAAACCACTAGTGGATACTGACCCATTTTGCCAGTACTGCTGTGTTGTTTCTTTGCTTTGCACCCATCTAAGAGCAAGTTTGTGGTCACACCTTTATGGTAGGAATATCTTTATGTTCAGCACTGTGAATACAAAGCATTGTGAAATCCTGGAGCTGCCAGATTCTACTGTATTGTAAGCATGAAATAAATACACATTTATTAACCAATAATTGCTATATTTTAGTATTTGTCACTTAGCAATACCATGGCTCTTGACTGATCTGGAGACTTTGAGACTGTAGCACCATTCAGAGGAGGAAAGTCTGTATTACAGCAGTGACATAGTTGTTGCAGCAAAAGTATATTCCTTGATACTGCTTCTTGGTTTATTTGGGTGCTTTTCTGCTCTGTACAAAATGCATAGTTTAACATGACTTAAAGAAAGCAAAAAAGAAAGCAAATGAAGTCTTTATACATTTAAGAAAGCAAACTCATTCAGGCTATTCAGGTTCCAAAGAGTAGTATCAGCAGCAGGTGAATCATAAATTGCACAGATTTCCCTATATATGTAGGCCTAAATCAGTGTCATACAGGACTGAGCCTCCTGTTTCACCCAGCTGCTGTGCTGCCCTGGGTATGAAACATGTTGTCAGAGGATGGTTTATGGGGTCCCCATATTATGGCCAATCTGGACGAGCCTCTGTGTCTCACTGCTTTCCGTGTCCCCTGATGAGATGTTA